GAAGTAAACTATTAGAATGAAAAGACATAAAATTTTCAGTTAATTAAAATGATTTATTCTACTTTCGGAGGTGGGTTTAATTCGGGAATGGAGGAAAAATGTATGAATTTATATGGCAATCATGCTTCTGATACGACGGCGTATAAGAGGTAAGTATTAAAAAGCGAAAGTTGTAATTAAAGACACGGATTGATGTGAACTGCTTTTAGGTTCACTAGCTCGCGTGACGTTAATGGATAAAGTGATTGATGGCGGTTGGACTATACGGAACCGAGTCTCAGTTCGGGTTAATGTTGGTCCTTGTCACGGAATTTGAACCTATGCCGTTATCGCTTATAACGGATTTCAATAAGAACGGGTGCTACATCTTGTCTCGTACTTCAAGACTCTTGCTCTGTCAGCGTTTTTTTCCTCAAATCGATTGATGAGTAAGAGTTGGATTCTGGTTTTGTTCTTGGATCAAAATCTCGTTTTGCCAAGAAATTCTTTGATTAATATAACGTAAAAAGATAAAAAAAATTCCCATTTTTTTGTTCTAGAATGCGATCGTCTTAAAAATCTTCCAGGGATATGAAGATGGGCCTCTGACCTCTAAGATTTCCGTGTCTGGTCTCGATTTTCATCTATCTAACTCCATTCTTAAGATTGAGGATGGACAGACGGGCGGATTTTTTAGTCCGCAATTTGAAAATTGCAGACCTATAAATTCCCATTGGCATCCGTCTTTCTGTCCTTTCTTAATCTCGAGAACGAAGTTAGATAAATGTAAATCGAGACCTGATGTGAAAAGGTTAGGAGCAGGATGCCACGAACTTCGGTCTGAAACGGGAAATAATTTTAGAAAAATTCTTAAATATTCTACTGTATTTTCTAAATAGCTTCTACTCTAGGAAAAGTAAAGAGAAAGTAAACAGTTACTAGGTTTTTCGAGTATTAAAAGTTACTGGTAGGCATGTAACTATGGCAGAAAGAAAAAAATATGTATATACAGTATTGTAATAAGCATTACTCAGCAATGTTTGCAACTCAACTAAGTGGCAAGATATGTGCTGCAAGCTGCAACTCTTGCAAGATAACACACAAAGTAGACAATTATCGTTCACGGAATTTTTTTATTCTTTCGATATCCTCAAGCGATGGCATTTTATTACAAGTAAAATAACCGAAAGTATTTTTTAAAATGCATTCGTAGTATAGAAAGCAAAGAAAAAGGATTCTGTTTTACCTTCAAATCTTCAATTTCTTGTGTAAAATAAATACATAAAAAAATCAATTAAGTGTTAAACCTTATATAAATATTGATAATTTTACTGTAATTATCGTTTGTTTTTCGTAAGAATGGATTGACTCGTTGGGGTAAGGCACAGCATCACATGAATCTGTCAAAGGGGACTTTCTACGAGGAATTGGCCATTATTCGGGTATTAAATACGTGAAGAAAGTCCGAAAAACTCCACGTGACTAGCCGTTAGTCGGGCGCGAACCCGCGACCAACTACAAGTATTCGTGGTTTCATCCTCTCGATTACGGATGGGCAGGAGCTCGCGATCTACAGATTGAATAGACTTGTATAATAAGTATTAATTTCTTATTAACCTCAAGTTAAATATAAAATTAGGCTTAGTAAGGATTAAAACTTATTTATACTTTTACTAAATTTATACTTAATTATATAATCGTAAAACCTATTTTAAACGTAATTTTATTGTATAATCCAATCACATAACCTCCCAACATAAAAAAATCTGTATTAAGATATCAAATATAAATTAAACTGGTTATACTTTCCTACGTTATAACACTGACATTAATTACGATGGATTCAGAAGATTCTACTTTAAAATTAGACCCTTCGAAAATAAATAATGTTAGAAAGAATAAAAAAAAAACCTAACATTTTTAAACTTGGTGTATCTCTATCCTTAAATTCATCTTATACATTATAAAAAAGAGTCAACAAGTTAACTAAACAAAGATAATTAAATATTGACAGGATCGTAACTTTCGAGTAGAGAAAGATGTGCATTATTGACTTAATTGCTTTGTACTTCATACGGAGACAGCCATAAAGTTGTCACCCGAAGGCAAATCCCTCTGGTGCATTCATTCTCTTCGCATCATGTAATTGGACGAGTCTCCTGAGAGGGCATTAATCTATCCTTCTAATCCATTAAGGCCAAACAAACATCTTTAAACTTCCTCTAAATGTTGAGTTACGATCCCAGTTAAGTCGCTCTCTCTCTCTACTCTTCTTAATCGATCGTCTACAATTTTGTGATTGTTTTCCTCGGATGGCATTGTGCACCCTCTATGCTTCGTAATGCCCATATGGCAGAGAGATGTATCGTTGACAAATGAATCCGAATTTATACAAATTAATGGCACTTTAAAGCCTAGCAGCAGCGTCTTACTAGAAAAATACCTTGCATTGTTAAATGAAAAAGAAAAAAATGCAGAAGGAAGCCATTTTAATTATGTTCTTGACGCGTTTGCTTTCTTTTTTTTTAGTAGAAAATTATTTAAAATTTTATTACTTCGTTGTTTCTGGAGAGCAGAGTCATTAGCGTATCAGCATGGCTGTCAAAGGAGATGCTAAGACGAGAGTTCGAGTTTCGACTCCACCCTCGAATCGAGTGGAGAAACGCACACCCTCACACTTTCAGTAACACACCAGTGGTTAAGGAAGTCGAGATTTGATCGATGGCCCACAATTTTTGTTGGGTTGTTAAAGAAAGGCTTTATAGACTCGGGGGAAATCATACTAGCCAAACAGATGGATGACAGTTCTCTCTACATCAGAAGGGAAAGTGTAAATGGAATAATTATAGCTGCTGTCAACGACTGTCATGTTCAGTTTCTCTCTCTCTACGGCCACAGTGTGACGTTTAATTACGTCGTGACTTTGTCCCTCAATAGTCATTTCGGGCAGGTAATTACTCTTAATCCCCCCTCGCTCCATTCCAGATTTCTTGGTGATTGCTCCATCCCAAGTCGATCTCGAAAATAAATAAGATGGACGACACTTATGAAGTTTGCTTCATCTTCAGAATTTTCAGCGTATGTACTACAATTAGACTGTATTGTGTGCTTGTGCAGGACATAACATTTGTCCTGCACAACACGCAACTCTGAATTTCTATTATGAAAATATTTCTCTCGCAAAAATTTCTGTTTATTTCAATAATAATATATATTTTTTAATTGAAAATGTTGATTTTATACTACATTTCTGCATTGTAACCATTCAAATATACTTATTTAAAGTTGCTTATCGTAATTTTTTTTTAAATTTGGATACTTTTTTCAATTCTGAATGGAAAAGTTCCGAAAAAAGCAACCCCCTTAAATGGTTTCTAAGTATAATTTACAATGAATTTACAATTTCTAATACTATTATAACATTACTGTTCCAAATAACACCAGTGTATAGAAGCTACACTCATATAGAAAAGGTTAAATTTATAAATTCTTGTAACATCTTGTAATATGTATTTTTATATATATATATATAAAAAAACACATTACATCGCTATCTTGTAAAGTTACTTATATAAAAAGTTAAAAGAAGGAAGTGTAATGGAAGACAAATAACATCAAAAGTTTATTTTGCATTATACAATGTAAATTAAGGAACTGTAGAATAGATCAAATTTAATTTAAATTCTAATCTTTCTACTCGTGAAGTGATTTGTGGTAGCTTACATTTAATACATCACGTATTCGTAGTCATCGTTTGCCAATTTCATCCCTTTCGGAGGCTCCACGTTATCGATGATCGCTGCAAGAAAAAGTACTTCATCCCCAATGACACCAAATAAATTCTCGAAATAAATAAAATTTTAAGATGTAAAATGTACTAAAATATAATCAAAGCAAAGATTCTAAATTAAATATTTTGTTAATACAGCATATAAATCTTTATATAAAGTTATAAGGCAATCGTAATAAAAGAGCAGCGGTTCAGAACTCTTTGTAGAAAGCTACTTGGAGCTCTGAACTTCGGTACGTGCATTATTTTGAGTATGCTGTTTCGATTTTAAGGAAAATTCAGCCGCTAGGTCAAAACTTGGCGGTGCTGTCCACTTAATGATTACATTACGTGCATTTCCTAACGAATTTCGGGTGTCAAGAAAGAAGTGTAATGATTTTATTTCAATTGCAGGTGTGATTACAGACGATTATATATCAAAAGTTATGGTTTTATGCGCCTATTCATCTTGTGAGAAAGGTTTTGCGACTCCTTTAATATCCGAAATTCGTTAGAAAACGTACGTAATATGCACGTTGAGATAGTAGCGTCAAATTTCGCCCTATCGGCTAAATTTTAAAGTAAGTTTTTATAAGAAACTGGCCCCTATTTAGGTGTTACTAAAATGAAGAAAATCCGGAAAACTTCCACCTGGACAGTCTGTTGGGCGAGGCACGAACCCACACCAACTACTATAGTGTCCAATGGTTTTTTTATCCACTCAGCCACTGGTGGACGAAGTTGAGTTGGGAGAGGGTGATAAAAACAATGGTCTTAGTAATTAAAATGTACGCTAATTGACCCGAGTTTTTACAATGAATGAAACTGCAAAACACAAGATACTACTAGAGCTTAAGTTAAGAAGGGGCGAGGAACCCAATAGTATTTTTCTAGAGTGTAGAAGAATATTCATGCCAATTTGGTGCAATGCGTTGAACGGTACAGAACCCTTCAAACAATTTTAATTATACATTTTCCTTCCTACAATAAAATTTACCATCAGATGAGCGTAAGATAAGGTGACAAAGATTTGAATCCTTCAATACACACAAATGATACATTAAGACAGAATAAGCATTAAAAAAAATAATGAAACGTTAGTTAATTACACAGCAGAGTTAACTAAATGATGAAGGGATCCTCGACTGAATGACAGCTCCTTTAAAAACCTGTTTATTCGCCATCCATCAGATTATAAGCCTACAAAATTGAATATCGATCCGAGTGACAAATTGAAGCCAGATTATTATCGTGTGAATAAAGTAATATCGATAAATAGAAGCGAGAGTTAAGCCAATCGACGTCTGCCATTCACACTCAATAGCGATCGTTACACTTTGTCAATGATAAGGTTTTTCAATTACACGAAATAATCGAAATTTCTGATGGAAATTGATAATTACACTTCATCTTCCAGTGATTGATTTTTAAGTGTTTGTCGCCTTCTATCGCTTTGTAAATCTCTACGCCAATCTTTGTGTGGAAAAAACACGAAATTTTGTAATATTTGACAATGTTTATTGCACATTTCTCTATATTTACAACACGCTAGACATCAAGTTTGCGAAAAATGACACGGAATTCGCTTTATGACACTTACATAGGACTAGATAGACACTAGAGTCGGTACGAAAAAATGTGCTACTCGAGTAATAAGAAAAACCACGTGGCTATTATTTAAGTTTTCAAGCATTTACTATATAATTTATAAGAATTACATACAATATCTGCGACTAAGCTCACTACATAGGTCTGTGAGAGCAATTCTCTCTCTGGAGGAATGAGGAAGACGTTCGAAGGCTTCCATTACTGAACTATTACTTTAAACCAATTTTTTTTTTCTTACCAGGAAAAAAAAATTAAGGTAGGAACATCGATCGATACAACATTTCTTTAAATTTAGCTGCCAAATATCACATTTTAATAAATTTATGCGCTATATCCAATTAATTTCTTCACTTATAAAAGGCTGTTTGTCGCTTATAATTAGTTAGAGAGCTTCTGTGTCAATCAACAGCTACCTAACTAATTGATCACCCCATTATCTTAAGCATAATCTTAATCATCTTTACGAACTATTTTTGGATTTACATTACAGTTATTTATATAATGTTAGTGATTAATAGTCCAGAAGGAGAATTTAAAGTAATTTACTTACTGAAATTTCGAGTGATTTTTTTTTTTTAAATTTTCCGATCACTTGTCAATAACAGCTACAAAAACGTTCCAAACTTCACATTCGTAAGTCGCGAAATAATTGAGATTCAAAGAAAAGTCACGTGCAAATTTCGCTTCCTTTAGCACTGTCGACTGAACAAAGAACTGAACGATTCCTATTGTATATATATATATATATATATTAAAAAAAAAAAAAGAAGTTAATTAAACTTAACATTGTAAATATACAGATCCTTTAAGCCTATAAATTTGTCGCTATCCCTCTTAAACATAGAAAAATACAAAAAAAAAAAGGGTGGTCGATCTTGATCAATAGCATTTCCGTGACGATTCGGGATATTTCTCTTTCAATTCTGTCTTGAATTGTCTAAAGAGGATTCGATTTCGTTCTTGATCCAAATCCTTGTCCTTGTGGAAGGAAGTAGGTGTTTTAAGACCTCGATGTACCACGAATGCGTTGTTCAGAACAGAAAACTTGTATCCCGTCACGTGAAGTTCACAAACCTGAAAAAAAAAACAAGCAAAATTTCATGAAAACATGTTATACAAGACTTCTAATTATTAAGACTACTTCATGTTTATCACGCGACTTTTATATATATAACAGATGTGATCAAAAATGATCCTCCACCCCAGATTTTTACATTTTTGGACTCGGGAACCTTGAAATGTCGAGAAGTGAAAAAAGTTTGGGATTTTTTTTCTTGTATGTTAATGCGAGGGACAGGATTTTGTTCACCCACTTCAAAGCTTAATAACTCCTGTGTTTTTTATCGAAAATTTCTAAAATTTCTCAGGGAGAAGCGTGTATTAGGGGGTAATGTTTCTAGAAATTTTCAGGAAAATCGAACCATTATTCGGAGAGATATGGCTCCACCCCTCAACATCTCCAATCTGAAGACTTAAACGGTAGCAACTATTAAATACGAAAACAAAGAATAGCGAGAATTCCAGCAATACAGCAAGCTTGTTATCTTTAATTCTAAAAGAAATCCATCGAATTAAAAGAAAACCCCAGATTTTGTTCTTTATTTATACCCGACTTTACCGATTAATTATATTCATCAATTTAATATCAAAAGCATGTGGCGAAACAATTTATTTATTTATTAATTACGTATTAATAAGAGAGAGAGAGAGAAATCTGAATCGAACATTTAAGTCAAATCCCTGCAAACAAACACAGAAGGAATTTTCCATATCAGATTCCAGAACATCGGGGAGTTTCTGTTGAGTGACTTAAAGCAACCGTGCGTGACACAGAAAGCCAAAGGCAGCTTAGACGGATCACGTAATTCAATCCATGTCTTTTCTGTACAGGTAATCATCCGACAGAAAAATCGCGGCTTCTAAAAAAAAAATAATAATAATAAAAATAAAAATTAAGAAGTTACAGCGAAACGATTTCGAGCTCCGTCGATTTTAATTTACACCCAAGAAGAAGAAAGAAAAACAACGAAATTTTAATTTTTCGCAAATATTTCTGAAGCCGCTACCAGAAAAATTGACTAGGATCGCCATCGACTAACCTCCCCACCCAAATATCGAATAATTGCTCGAAAGTAGAATGGTGTATGGTGATTTACACATAGGCAATCTCCTGTTGTCACTCTCTATCGAATGTAATTACAGTTAAGGATTGATGCCGTCCTGTATCTATAAATTAGCTTCATAAAGCGTACTGTACGTACGTAAATTTTTGATTTAAGGAAAGTCTTAAGGAGAAACGTAAGACTTAGTACATGTATGTAAATCACGAGATTAAAGTGGTTTTTCTTGTTTAGAAGCGACATTTAGTAGTGTCTTCGCCAAATATTGAAGTTATTTCGATGTTTTACGAGTGTTAAAACAATCGCGATAAAAAAAAAGGGTGAGAAATTAATAGTTTTAATTTAATACTTGAATATAGAATATTACTAGAGCAAAAACTGTAAATGCAAATTCCGTCCACGATAGTGAAGTACGGTATTTGCCGGCGTATAATGTGCACCCCACTTGTCCTATACGTCAATCAAATTTTCGATTATTCGACACGAAAATACAGGTCAAAATGTCGCGCTGCATTCTTCTACGTTAGAATTACATTTAATCCTATAAATTATTTAGAAGCGTATCGTTATACGAGGGGGAGGATGATCCAGCTAACGTCATTTTCATCCTCCCTATTACGATTACTCTATCGTATGAACGACAAGAGAATTCTGATTTTTAATCTTTCGTTAACTTAATCGGATTTCTAGAATAATAGGAGATTAATTCATGTTTTTGACTCGAAATTTCTAACGCGCCTAACAGATCATCTTGAAGATAGAGAATGAAACAATCGTTCTCGCTTGTAAAAGATGATGGCTCGCAATCGATGATAATGGATTATTAACTTAATAATTCAATCCCAAATAACCCATTGTCACTAATTTAAATTTATTACTTTCCGGCTGTTATATATAACATAGGGAAAGTATGACCATCGGTCAAAAAAAATGTCCCCCAGATTTTTACGTTTGGACTCGGGACACTGAAACGTTGAGAAATGCAAAAATTCGAGGGATTTTGCTGTGTGTGTGTGTGTGTGTGTGTGTGTGTGTGTTCTCCCTCTTTGAAGCTTAATAACTCCTGTGCTTTTTGTCGATAATATCTGAAATTTTGCAGGAAGGTTTGTATATTAGGGGGCTTTATGGTATTAAATTTTAGTGGTTAAAGGTCGTGCGGGTAGGAAAATAATGGGGGTCGTGTGTATCTCCAGTAGGGTCGGACTTAATGATTTTACTTGTTATTAGCATTTACAGTTGTTTTTTTTTTATAAATAAAACCCACCCTACCCTCAAAATTAAGTTTTTTACAATTTTATAACAGTTAAAAACATAAAAAGATTTTTTAATAAAATATGATAACAGATGGCGCCACCAAATGTTGCCTGGAAAGTTAAGCAACTCGTTGCTGGATATATTTTTTTTTTCGTATCGTCTCTACAGTTTTTTAGAACCGATATTAAATTATTCAAAAATCAGGTTTAAATCTGTCTTATAATATATATATTTTTTATTAAAAAAAACCCTTTATTTTCAACCATATTTTTGTTATTTAATATAATAAATATCCTTATACTATGGAAAGCTTTACCAAAGGTCATTCAGAGGTTCGAGCCTGTTTAAAATTAATTAGCTAAACCTAAAATTAATCAAGAAATTATTCATAAAAAGAACGAATGGCGAGTTTGTGAATTATCATCATCTGTTTAAACACTGAATAATTCGAGCTGCAAGTAAATAATTTCGATCCTCGAACTTAAATCGAAGAAATTTATATGCACACATTCATATTCCTACTCAGAGAAACTGCGTGTTCAACTTAAGTACTGTATCTCGTGTTTATCTTATTGTAATTTTTATAGATCTATATATCTAAATTGAGCATTTTGTGCGAGAGACCGACTCTGAATTTTCCAATCTCTCTAAATAAAAGCTGAATTTACTACTAAATGAATTAGATTTAAGCTAGCTTATGCGTTAAAAGCCTTACGAATTCTCACAGATGTTCGTATAAAACGGCGAATCTGTACGATGATGATTGTCTCCTCTTCGAGAAATGACCAAATTTCATTAAAATTTTTCGTACTTACTCTCTAGAACCCTGCGAAAAATATTACTTATCATGAAACTTGGACACCCACTCCTTCCCCAATTTCATCCGCATTAATTCCTAAAGCTTTGATTGATCTCCCACCCCACTTCCATTCCTCCCTCACTTCACCTCCTTGGCACTTCACGATAAACATAACAACGTTAATCTAATACAGTTTTCATGTATTAGCTTACTCAGGGACCTTGAAACGTCGAGAAATGCATCTATACATGCAGAAATATCCCCCAATTTTTTTTGATGCTGTGTGGGGGGTGCACGAGTTCATCCACTTTAAAGCTTAACTCCTGTGCCAGAGTTGTTTGTGTATTAGGGGTATTGATGCTATTAAATTTTGGTGAATAAAGATCGAGCGGGTGGTGAGATAGAGGTGGTAACGTGAGTGGGGTCGTTATTAGCATTTACAAATTCTATAAAAACTAATCTCTGCCCTCAAAATTAAGTTTTTTTATCATTTTATAATAATGAACAATATAAAAAGTTTTAAGTAAAATAACGGAAATTTTTAAAAAAATCAATTAAATTTTCGTGTTTTATAGTACTTGTTTGAATAGGAAAAGCCACGCGAAGTGAAAAACGAACATAAGATCAATTTTTTTTATGGATTTGTCAGATTCCTCTACAATACCCAGAAGAAATTTGTGGTTTCGTTTTCTTCGAATGGGCTACCGTTGAGACTTCAATTTTGTCCATTGTGGTTGCCCAACTTAGAACAGAACAAGATTTAATCAAAAAAGAATAGTGAATGCTCATAAAAACTCTAATTTATCTATATAAAAAAACAATGACGACTCGTAGCATGGAGCACTTGCGACATGGAATATTGGAGCGTGGATTTTTTGCTACATGGAGTATTGGAGCATGGGGCATTCGTAGCGTGAAGTATTCGTTTACTGTTAAATCGAATCAAAACACAGCCTAAAAATTCAATGTTCGATTCTAAAAATATTCGAATTTAAAATTTATAAAAGGAATTTTAATTAAAGAAAAATCGACGTTTCCACACATTCTGAGTATCCATTTTAGGAAGGAGGAGCAACAAGAACGAAATGTATCAGCACAGACCTCATTTAAAATATTAAATGAATCGAATTTTATATGTCTTAATTAATTGACACTCGAACATTTTAAATAAGCGAAATTGGAGTGTCGAAACGTGTTTAATTATTTAAAAGTGAGTAGCAAAATCCACTAAAGAAGTCAATCAATTTTTACGTAATGCTGAAATATTTTCATTAACAAATCAACACAATTAGGGGGATCATTTTTAAAGAATTGATTTAATTGTCTTGAAATTCATAAAAAAAATAACCGTCACCGCGAAACTTTTAGTAGTTAAAGCGTACCTCCAAATAACGGCCACCTGTAAACAGGAGACATTTTATCAGGGGGATTATGGAAAAAATCGCATACAAACAATACCGGGCTGCAATTTTTAACCATCTTTCAATTTAAAAAAAATCACGTGACTTCCGGTCCAGACTGGTATCTCGTATACAGTTAATCGGAACTCCGACCCCTAAGCTTTCCGCATCTGGTCTCGATTTCCATCTATATAACGCCGTTCGAGATTAACGAAAGACAGACGGACGGACGGACGGACGTGCAAAAATTGCAGCCCAATAAAATATTTGCTATTATATTAAAGAAAATTAACACGTTAACGCCTTTAAAAGTCAATTCCAAAACCAAATTAAGCAAAGAATTAATCTTAAAAAGAGGTTTTTCGCAGTTGTTAACACCGAAAATGGCAGATCGTCTCCATTGACAATACACGAATCTAGGTACTTTAGAATTCCAACTATTCAGATTATTTTTAAACGTACAATAAATACCCAAATTTTTGCCTATTCGACTTAACCAAT